CCACAATGGAATTCCTCGGCATTAAGGATCCACCCGGGGTTCTGTTATCTGCGCTCATTTGAAACCGCTCAACCTTCTGAAAATACTTTCCATGCTTGGTCTGAGCCCAGAGGTGATATTTTTCTAGAGAGTTGGAGGACAAAGCGTCAAATTAAAATATACTCCGATTTTTAAAACGGATACGTGTTTTGTTCATTCCCCAAATGGCTGATGAAAAGCACTCGATCCTCAGCAGTCAGTCCTCGTGGAGAAGTAATGTCCTAGGAGAATTAGTACTGCCCCTTCCCTTCTTTGGGCTTGTCTTCACATTCAGCGCTACAAGGGTGCACTTACACCAGTGCAGCTGCGCTCTGGTAGCACTTTAGTGAAGACACTACTATGCCAATGGGAAAGCTTCTCTCATTGGCATAGTTAATCCACTTTCCCAAGAGCTGGTAGCTATGTTCACAGGAGAAGTTCTCCCATCCACATCACACTGTCTGCACCGGGCGGGAGTGAGGGGGCTAAGTCAGTAGAGCTACGTCGTTCAGAGGTGTGGATTTTTCACACCTCTGAGCAATGTAGTTATACTGATATAGATCTGTATTGTAGACCAGGCCTAACTCCAACTCGAAATAATCCAGATTCTCCCTCTAGGGATCAGGATGCAACACTTGCACTCTGAGAGATGGCCAGACTCTGAGAGTCATTTATTTGATACTGGAAAGATGTGGGGCATAAATATTTGTAAATTCTCTAGGTTAGGGTCTGTTTTTTCATTATATGCATATACTGTGCCAAGCACAATGAGGCCCTCATCCTTGATTGGTGGTGTCTAGGTGCCACTTCAATGCAAATAGTAAATAATAATCATGTTTAATTTACCCACATGCCTCTTCTCCCCATCTACACTTCAGATATATGTCCTTAATACGCAGGGCTTGTCACTGAAATGCTGCAGCAGCATAGCTGCGCTATTGTAGTGTTTCAGTGTAGACATTACCTATGCCAACAGGGGAGGAGGGATTCTCCCATCGGCGTAAGGAATCCACCTCCCAGAGAGGCAGTAGCTAGGTTGACAGAATAATTTTTCCATCAACCTAGCCCTGTCTACATTGGGGGGGTTAAATCATCTTAAATACACCGCTCAGGCACCTGGATTTTTCACACCCCGAGTCATGTAGTTAAGTCAAGCTAATTTTCCCGTGGAGACCAACCCCCAGGTTGCAAAGTATTTCTAAAGACCTCCTACAAGAGTGACAATATTAATATCCCGGTTTCAGGCTATAAACATTCAATTTCCAGTTTATATGGAAAATTTATACATAGGAGAAAAGTTGGCATGTGTTAAAACAGGCAAAACTTGAAAGGAAAAGAAATCTCCTTTGAGCAGTGGTCCCAGACTGGGAAATACCTGCCTCCATCCTATTATTATTTATTGAAGCTAAACAAATTCAGAATGGAAATAAGGGGTGCGTTTGTAAGTGACAGTAATTAACTATTAGAACAACGTACCAAAGGTTGTGGAGGGTTCCAAATATTTTAAATCAAGATTGGACGTTTTTCTAAAAGATCTGCTGTAGTTCAAACAGGAATTATTTGGCAGGAAGTGCTATGGCTTGTGTTGCGCAAGAGGTCAGACTAGATGACCACAGTGGTTCCTTCTGGCCTTAGAATCTATGAAGTTATGAATTTTTCATTATTGATTTCTATGGCAGTAGCATCTGGGAGCCCTGGGACCAGGACCCCATTGTGACAGGTGCTATACAAACACAAAGCAAAAAGACAGTCTCTTCCCCAAAAGAGTTTACAGTCTAAGTATATGATCCCATTAAAATAAGAACACTATAAGGTGATGTTTCAAAGTCTCTTCACATTAAAATAAATAAAAATAAATTCTCGGACTTGCTGTCGAGAATGTGTGTGTATGAAAAGGAAAGTTACCTTTTGCAACATAAAATCATAGAATCATAGACTAGATGACCTCTCGAGGTCCCTTCCAGTCCAGTCCCCTGCACTCATGGCAGGATTAAGTATTATCTAGACCACCCTGACAGGTGTTTGTCCAACTTGCTCTTAAAAATCTCCAATGATGGAGATTCCACAACTTCCCTAGGCAATTTATTCCAGTGCTTAACCACCCTGACAGTTAGGAAGTTTTCCCTAATGTCCAACATAAACCGCCCCGCTGCAATTTAAACCCCTTGCTTCTTGTCCTGTCCTCAGTGGTTAAGAACCATTTTTCTCCCTCCTCCTTGTAACAACCTTTGTAACCTTGTAACAACCATGGGCGGCTGGTGAACGAGCCATTGTGGGAGGCTAAGCCCTGGCCCCTCCCTCTCTACCCAAGGCCCCGCCCCTCCTCTTCCACTACTGCCAAAGCCCAGAGCACATGCCGCCGCGTGTCCCCAGTCCTGGAGTGCTGGGTGGGAAGCATGGCTGGAGCACCGCCAACCCCAACACGGTGGGCAGGCAGCGCTGCCAGAGCGCCCCCAGCCTCAGCGTGCTGGGCGGGTAGCGTGCCTGGAGCACCACTAACCCCAGTGCCAGGTGGGCGACATAGCTGGCGAACCCCCAACCCCAGCGCCGGGCAGACGGGCAGTGTGGCGTGGCCCCAGCCCCAGACCCCACAGCCCCGGGCCTTGTGAGCACTGGCTCCAGCCTCTCAGCCGTGGAAGAGCACTGGGAAGGGAACTGGAAGCAGGTAGGAGGGGTCTGGGGCGCATGGGCGGGGTCACGTCAGGCTGTTTGGGGAGGCACAGCCTCCCCCAACCTATGCTACTCACTGCCCGTGGTAACAACCTTGTAAAAACCTCAGACTGCAGTATCCAAGGCTGGCTGCTTTTCGGACATCTGTCCTTAATTTAATTTTTGATATCACTAAATCCAGATTGTCACTGGACACGTTAGTGATATGTCTGGACTTCCCAGAGAGAGGGGATAGTTCAGTGGAAACCTCTAAGCTTATTTCTAGTCTCCTGGTAGCAGCAAAATACGACGTCGCTAAATGTTAGATAAAGACCTTCCAGCAGCAACAAATAAATGTAGCAAATGTTGCCTTATTGCTAAGTTTATTTTTCACATATTGCTTATTTTTGTGTTCTTGAACCAAAAAAATGTGGGGTTTTTTAAATGTTCAAATCCCAGTTGTTTATGCAAGCAACATTTGAAAATGCAATTTGTGGGCAGGGAGTTTGATGGAGGTAGGGTGCCCAGATAGCAAGTGTGAAAAATCGGGACACATTCTTTTCAAGAGGGCATAGAGTTGTGTATATAAGATAAAGCCCCTAATACTGGGACAATGCTGATGTTATCGGGACATCTGATCACCCTAGATGGGGCAGTACTTTGCACTGAAATAAAGCCTTGGACGCTTCCGAACTGTCTCGCCATCACAGAGCCATGTCATTTGTGGTGGCCTTAGAAGTATTGTGTCATTTACACTTGCTCAAATCTGTTACTCAAATTAAGAGGAATTTTGCACAGTGCGGGATGAAGGCTGTTTCTGGATCTCAGATAATATATACTTAAAAACATGCATATTATTATTTGTATTGCGGTTGCACCTAGGAGCCTGTCATAGATCTGGACCCCCACTGTGCTAGGGGCTGTACATACACAGAGCTAAAAGTCCCTGCCTCAAGGAGTTAGCAGCTTAAGTACTACTGAGAGTTGGTATCGTTCAGTCTGGTTTCGATCAGAGGTGATGTGTGTAAAACTTTGATTCATAACGTTTTTCATACAGTTTCAGCTGTTGAAAGTAGAACCAACTCCAGCCCCCATAATCCTTCTGGTTTTTCTGTTACCACCAAGGGAAAGCTTCACACATCAGTGAGCAGTGGGGGAATGTATGGGAATAGCAGTGAGCCTCCTGCATACTCCCTGCTACCTTTGCACCCGTGCAAACGGGGAGGGCCCTACCAAATTCACGGCCATGAAAAACATGCCACGGCCCGTGAAATCTGGCCTCCCCTGTAAAATTTACTCTCTATTATACAGAATTCATGGGGGAGACCAATGTTCCTCAAATTGGGGGTCCTGACCCAAAAGGGAGAGTCACAAGGTTATTTTAGGGGGGGTTGCTGTGTTGCCACCCTTACTTCTGCGCTGCCTTCAGAGCTGGGTGGCCGGAGGGCGGTGGCTGCTGACGGAGGGCCCAGCTCTGCAGTCAGCAGCGCAGAAGTAAAGAGTGGCAATGCCCTACTGTGCCATCCTTCCTTCTGCGCTGGTGCTCCCGGCGGCTCTGCCTTCAGAGCTGGGCTCCCGGCCAGCAGCCGCCGCTCTCCAGCCACCCAGCTCTGCAGGCAGGGCCACCGCCAGCTGCCGTGCAGAAGGAAGGGTCGCAGTACCGCAGCCCCCCGTGCGATAACCTTGTGACCTCCCTCCCCGCACAACTCCTCTTTGGGTCAGGACCCCAACAATCACAAGGCTGTGAAATATCAGATGTAAATAGCTGAAATCATGAAATTTATGGATTAAAAAACCCTATGCCCCTGAAATTGACCCAGCTGGACTGTGAATTTGGTAGGCCCCCTACCACCAGCCCTAAAATCAGCAAGTGGGAGGGTGGGACCCGCAGTGGACAGGCCGTTGCTGTGGCCAATCAGGGCCGGACGGGGGGGCAGCCAGTCAGCAAGCAGGGTTGGGCGAAGCGGACCAATCGCTCGCCCCTGGCTCAGCCGCACGGGAGTGCGGAGCGGTGCCCGGGCTGGGACCCCGCAGGGCTACGCAGGGCAGCGGCGGCGGCTGCAGCGTTCGACAAAGGCAGCTGCGGCCGGCGCCGGGGGGCGCAGGGAACCCGGCAGGGGGAGCCGCGGGGCACGGCGGGCAGAGGGCGCTGCTGGGCGGGGAGATTTGGAGCGCAGCGCCGGGCGCAGGAGCAGGCGAGTTGCCCCGAGCCAGGCTCCCCGGAGCCCCCCAAGCCCCGTGCAAAGCGGGGGTCGCAGAGGCTGCTGGGGGGGCTGCAAAGCGGTGCTAGGGACCGGCGCCGAGCAGCGCCCCGGCTCCACGGGCGACGGGCGCTTGTCACCCCGCCCGAGCCCCGGTGCGTCGCGCAGAGCCGGCCCCCTGCCCAGCCTCGGCGCCGGCCGTCCCCGCAGGGCTGCGGGAGAGAGAAACCTTCAGCGGCGATCCAGGGAGGCACCATGCGTTGCCCGCTCCTGCTGCTCGTCCTGCTCTGCTGCAGGGGTAAGTGCCAGTCTCCTTCCCTGCCCCTTCCCCGGGAGGCAGCGGTGCCGGCCCGCAGCCCGCTGGTGCGTGGGTACCCCCAACGGCAGCCTTGCCCTCTCCCTGCGCCGGGTGGGGGCCAGGAGACCGGCTCCGGGAGGAGAGAGGGAGTTAGCCCCAGGCTGCCAGCCACGGGGCTAACTGCAGGGATGGATCTTCCCCTGCCCCTCAGAGAGGCACCAGGCTGAGACCCAACAACTCACTGCATGTACGCCACCAAAGGGTAACTACTGACGCACGCCGGAGCTGAACCGGCAACCTGGTGGGGAAAGGGGTCTAGCATCACGTTGGCGAGCCCCTGAACCATCCAGCTTTCTCGGGTAGAGATGGGTTAGTTTATGCTGCAGTTGATCGTAGCAGCCCCAGATTGCGTTAGGAGGCATTGGCTCAGTGCAGTCCGGGCTGAGTGAAGGGCAGGGCAGAGTAAAGCTCAGGCTGCAGGCGGCTTTGATCCTCTTCCAGGGGAGCAAAGCAAGTGAAAATTTAGCAACAAGGAAAAGGTGTTTCTCTCTCGCCCAGTGGCTCTTCTGAAGCTGGCGAATCAGTTGGCGTGTGCTGCACATCCAGCAGACACTCCTGGTTTTGCTGAGTTTGAAGTGGAAATGGCCCAGCCAGACAAAAGTAGGAACACAGGTTACCCTGTCTGCATAGTAATGCTTTGCATCTATATAGTGCTCTTCATCCCAGAGGAATCCAGAGCACTTTATGCTGTTATTCAGTAATTATTACAGGAATCAATTTACCCCATGCTGAAATGCAGCTGTCTCCAGGTTGGAGTGGAGCAGCTGTTTAACAGTGCCCACCTAGCAGCTTAGAGCAGGAAATAAAGAACACTGTTCTGATTTGGATCTTACACCAGTTCCAGTTTCATGCTGGTATCACTCCACTGACTTGGCTGGAGTTATTATTTTTTACTTTTTTTTTGCAGGATGCCTGCACACCCCAAACAACATCAGGGCCCCACTGAGTCAGGTGCTGTACAGACACAGCCCTCGTCTACACTACAGACGTATGTCGGTATACCTACATTGCTCAAGGGTGTGGAAAATCCACACCCCTGAGCGACGCAGTTACACCGACTGGACTCCCAGTGTAGACAGCGCTGTGTAGACAGGAGGGCTTTTCCCGTCAACACAGATACTGCCTCTTCAGGAGGTGGAGTACCTACGCCGATGGGAGACGCTCTCCTTTCGATGTAGGGAGCGTCTTCATGAAGCCCTACAGCTGCACCGGCTGCAGCCCAGTGAGTGTAGACAAGCCCTGAGGGACAGTCCCTGCCCTGCAGAGCTTACAATGTAAATGGACAAGACAGATAAAAGGTAGGAGGGGAAACAGGAAAAGCATCTTACCTGAGGTCACGGCAAGTGGGTAGCAGAGTCAGGAATAGATCTCCTGACTTCCCGTGCAGTGCCCTAGCTAGAGCACCTCTGTTCGCTTACCCTGACTTACGCTGGCGTGAGTGCAGTTGGAATCAGGACCCCATACCAGGGGATCTGATGAGAGGAAGTAATGATCCAGACTTGTATTCATCCCAGACTTTGGGTTTAACACCCCATACTCTTGTGAAAATTGCCATAGGATCTTTAATGGGCCCCACGCCACCAAGACCTCAGTTGTATGTCTCGTCTGAAAGGTGTGTTTTAAAATGCCCTCACAGCATGAACCATTTTAAAAGAAAAATAGTCGGAAAGGGAATTCCTCCCTTTGTTGAAAACGGGAGGAAGGGTGAGAACAGCGAAGGCGTGCAATATTTCTTGACATTAAGAGGGAGAAAGGATGGAAGACAGTGAGTGAAGTCCTGTGCTAGAGGAGGTCTTGCAGTGAACTCTCTGCCCATCTGACAGCTTGCCCTCACTGCTAAAAGCTGCGGTTTTTTACCTTGCAGTAACTATCCCGAGTTCAAAGCACAGTGAAGGTCTGCCCCAGGCAGAGGTGCAGGGTTGAGCTCAGCGAGTTTAATCTTCCTCTAAAACTAAAGTGCCCTGTCTTCAGTGTGTTTTCAGCGCAGGAGCTATCCTGCGGTATAGTTATCCCCCCGTACAGAAAGCCCCACTCTTTTAGCAGTGGAGACCAGCCTTGAGTCAACAAGTGCAGGGAGGTCAGGCTGTTATGAAAAGGATTGAGGTGTTGAAAAAATGATTTCTCTTGTTGTTTAACATGAGAGGATTAGGCCAAACTCTGATCTCAGTGATGCTGGTGTACATCAGGAGTAACCGCACTGAAGTCATGCAGCCCCTTGCACTTTACATCAGACAGAACCTGGCCCAGCAACGCCTCGGAAGATTTTTTTCCCAGGGTTTCGCGTCAAATCCACTTTGAGTTGTAGGAAGTGGGGTTTAGGGCTGTGCTGGTGGGTGATGGTGATGAGGGGAGGCGTTCTGATGGCTCGGTTATATTCTCTGTCAAGTGATCCTGCTGGGCTCCTCTTGGCTGTCTCACAGCGTCTCCTTCCATAAGCTACTGCTGTTACGGTTTGAAATCTGTGAACTGCAGGTACTCTTGTACTTTCCCTTCTGTAGAAAGGGTGGATGTTTTTTTTTAATTTATTTTTTTTAAGGGACAGATTGGGCCTCTCTTACACTGACTTCAGCTTGCCCAGCGGATTACACCATTTTGTGAGCCATACCTAATTCCATGAGCAGAACCCGTTCTAATCAATGGGTGCGCTCAAGGAGCAAGGACCCACGCGTGTCAGGAAGGGTGGCCAACCCTGTCCCTTATTTTCCTAAAGGAGGAAAGAATTGTGGGGGAAAGAATTAAAATGTGCAATTTTTTTTTAAGGAAAAGAAATAACTGGAAACCGCAAGGGGCTTGCTTGCCCTCTTCCTGACTGTGTGTGGCCAGCTATAGCTGTGCAGAGGGGGGTGTGAAACACTATCATCTGTGCACACGAGTGGAGGGTTCTGATTTGGCAGTGTTCTACCCTGGCTTCACACAGCTGTAAATAAATGACAGCACAGTGCAGAAGGCAGCTCAGCATCAGGACTATGGTGTTGCAGGTTTAAAAACACCGCTGTTTTCAACTTAGGCTGTTTTCCTATGTAATCTGGGCCTGATGCTGAGCTCACACCAGGGTGATCCACTAGCTTCAATGGAGCTACTCCTGATTGACACTGGGGTAGGTCAGATCAGAGTCCGGCTGGCACAGCATACACATGGGGATGGTCTGAAGCATAATTGCCTCAAATTCAGACAATCTGTTGAGAGAGGCCCAAAGATGCCTGTTTCAGCATGTTCAGGGGACGCTTGTTAGATTTTTAAATTCCATTAGAAGATATGGGGGTGGTGTTGACATGGGAGGAAAAATTTGACCCCTTTATTTTTAGGATAAAAAGAATCAAAGCCTTAAATAATCCTTACTGGAAATGGCAGGACTGGATTTTTCCCTATCCGGGAAGTGGGACAAAGGGTTAAATATCCAGGACTGGATTTTCCCGCTGCTCGCCTAATCTAAAGCCATCACAGTCCCTTCACCCAAGGTTTAAACTCGTGTCTCTAAAACTCCCCCTCTTCAGTCCCAGAGCTACAGCATTTCCAAAGAAGCCAAAGGTTGGTTCGATCTAAGGGTCTGTGCATGAACTGCTGAAACTTTGAGTGATCTTGCTTTTCATTCAAATATTCATGATATTTATTGCATTATAGGAAGGGGCAACAGGCCGCTGGGAGGGGATTGTGGTCAAAACAGGAGAGTCGCTAGGGTCGGGCTGCCTAGGAACAAAGGTGTTTTGTTTTTTTTTAAACACATTGGCAGACATGTGTTAACTAACACATTAAATTGTAATGTGGACAACACAAGTTGTGGTTGTAACTTGCGTTAGCGGGCGGAGGTGGAGCATTCTGTCCCCGGTGTAACCTTCGGCAAGTTCCTGAAATTGCGCTGTGCTGGTGATTCCCCAAGGAGTGAAATGAATACGGTAACGGTATACCCCTCTCCCCCGTGCGGTTTGGAGGCTTAATTAACGAATGGTTTGCAAGGCACCTGGATGTCCGTGGATGAAAGGACCTGTAGCAATGTGACATCGTAGTTTATTTTAATTCCGGGGGGTTTCTTTGAAGAATTGTTGTTATTATTCATGCCGGTGGCTGAAGTGATGCTGCAGCTGTTTTCTAAACACTGTACATGAGCCTGGCACCTTGTTTGAAGCTCTGTGAAGCTTTGGGGCTCTAGCCCTTGCATTTGTGACATACACCCTGTGGGGCTTGTGTGCATAGGGCTTTGTGGCAGGTGTATGAGATTAATTAGGGTCAGTGAGATCTCTTAGGCTGTGGAATAGTTTCACCATCACTTGTGACATTAAAACCATGGGAGCTTGCAGTCAAGAGATAGATCCCCCCCCAACAGTGGATGGGGTGAAACTCACCCAACGTGGCAAATCCTGCAGATCTTGAGACTTGCAGAAAGAGACTTGGTGCTGGTTAGCTACTTCCCAGGGGAACCCCCTTCTCCTATGGCAGTGGTGCGCCTTTGAGAGCCGATCCACTGCATGTACGTGGGGGAGATGAGTGTTTTGGCAGATGGGGACAGCACAGAAGACAGTGCTGAACCCCATCACTATTATCTACAATGGGGAGATCCCTGTGGGTAGGAGGGGAGATGAGTGGGGAGAATGGCTGCTTCCCCTCCCCTCCGCACACATGCCTCAGAGCCCCATTGATTTGGGTCAGAGGAGCGTCTGCAGGATCAGGAAGAAGGAGGCTGCTTGCAGTGGACACCCTGGCTGGATTCTGATGGGTTTGGCCTGCTCTGACGGGAGCAGAGAGGAGCGCATGGAGCCTACGCTTCTGAGCCACTCCACTGATTCGAGTGCAGTTCCATCTGCCTGCAGCAATTCTGACTTTGTTTCCTCCTCATCTGGGGCACCAACCGTCCCATGCAAGAGTCTCTGTCTGTGCCCAGCTGCTGTCCCTGTGTCCAAGGTCCTCTGTTTACTCTGTCATCGAGCCATCAAGCTGTCAGTTTG